CTTTTGTCTTCTCCAGATGTTGACTGATGGACTGGAGTGCTGTGGATTATTGTGATGTTTTTATCAGACTCTCATTCTGACGGCACCCATTCACTGCAGAGCATCCATTGCTGAGACACTGATGCAATGCTGCATTTCTCCAAACCTGATGAAGAAACAAACACATCTACATCTTGGATGTCCTGAGAGTGAACACATTTTCAGCACATTTGGGTGAACTCTTCCTTTAAACCTTCATATGAGCGCACAGACACTCAATGTCATTTTTTATGATTGCATTATCTCCGCTCTTATGATATCTGCCATCTGACCAGTCAAAACAAGGTCTGGCGAAGTAAATAAAAAACTATATGGGTTATAAAATACACCCAAAACACTGAAGGCCAATTCAACTGTTTTCCTGTTTTATAGCAGATAATCAAATCTCTGACAAGAAGTTCAAAGGTCACACAAACTTCAGTTGTGGAAGGTGATATACAGCAATTTATGTCTGATCAGGAGGACTTGCTTTGTCTTAATGTTTGGATAAAACCATCTGCTCAATTAATACATTTAAATGTTTGCAAGTAAATAAAATAATCAAATTATTTTGACTGTAGAAATGTGAGTAAATAATAAACTAAAATCAAATGCATATTCTTGTATGATAAGAAAAAAGTCAGCAACTGACTGACCTGAACATTTTTAGGCAAACGCATGATGTTCAGAGCTTTCGAACTTCACAACAGCTCCCAGTAACTTTCCAAACACACAGAAACTGGGTCACAGAGTAAGGCCAGCCTGAAAGGCAAAAATAAGAGTGCTTCAAGCACTTAAGACGGTAACGTAGTTTTAATAACAGCAAAAGGCAACTGCTATCAAGTAAATGTGCTCTAATGCTATTTTAATAACAGCATGTTTACATGGAGAACATCTGATGTTTTCTGTCCTAAGCTTTGCACATGACTAATAAATGCATATCTATATAATATGAATGATTAAAGTAGTTTTATATGGAAGCCTGTTTCCATGACAGAATAAAAACTTTTTTTTTTAGCTTTTATCTTTATATATCACAATTCTTAAATGTTTTTTTTTGTTTTTATCTATCAGTTTTATTTATCAAGCATCTTTTTAAATTATGATTATTTTCAATTAAATATTAATAATATAATAATAATTGTTTTATATTAAATATTTTTAATGTAAAGCACATTGAATATTTTTTTTATAAAAACAGAATTCCAAGACCTTAACTCACAATTGCAAGTTTATAACTCACAGAAAAGTCTGAATTGTGAGATATAAACTCACAACTGCTTTTTTTTAATTTTTTTATTCCATAGCAGAAACAAAATAAATAAATAAAATTGCAAGAATTGTGAGATGTAAACTCGGAATTAAAAGAATAGGTCAAGATTATGAGTTTATATCTCACAATCCTGACTTTTTTATTCAGAATAGCAAAACACAAATTCCAAATTGTGACATAAAAAGTCACGATTACCTTTGTTTATTTATTTACAAGGTCAACAAAAATTATTTTTTTAAATTAATTTTATATTTAAAAATGCATTAATGAACTGTACACAATAAGAC